ATTCTGCATGTATACGAGTATAAGCATTTGATTCACTTATTTGTTGGGATTGTATGAATGAACTATCCAATTATATCACTCAAATTGTAAATGATACGGATATTCAAGTCCTTATATAATAAATATTGAAAATTTTGTAAATTACTTACTCAAGGTATGGTTTAACTTCAATACAATTGATCAACACGTGAACATGAACTAAGTTTAGCTCTGCATCGATTAACCAATGAGTCAACTATTTCCCAGAATGAAGACCAGGTTGGTTAAAGACTGATAACATATACGAGCACCCTTGACTTTCGACTTCCATTTCATTTCTAGAATTTCGTGGTGACAACATGAAGTTGTTGAAATAATGAGAGCAAAAATGAGTTATTTCACGGTGCAAGTAAGAATAACAAATTGAGCCTTCAACCCTAGCATTATTCTTTATAGATCGTTTAGCATCATTATTCTTTATAGATCGTTTAGCATCACCCATGAATCGTATTAATTCGTATATATATTAATTCATATTCATGCATATCAAGAAACAAACACAAGTGATATTAATAATTTGTAATATGATTTCATCCTTTAGTTTATAAGTGGTTTTGACGTGGGTTATTTGGAAAAATAAACTTACTTTTGCTCGGGCTAGCACCATAGTCATGACGTTGTAGAAAATGTGAAAAACAACTAGCACGAATATAAATATATGTAAGTGATGCACCCCTGACTGAGATATCAAAGGCACTTTACCCTGCTCAAAAAAATACACCATTTTATTAATAGTATTTAAAAAAAATACACCATTTTATTAATAGTATTTAATAACTGAATAATAAAAAGGGGTACGAGAACATAATCATATATATTAATGTTAATTTCTCATTTGGCCCCAAAAATAATCCAAGTTGTTGTTCTCATGTTGTAATCATCAAAACTCTTTTAAGCTCTCCCAAGCTCAAGACTTATCTCATTAGAACTTCAGGTTGAAGCGTGCTTGACTTTGAGTAATTTAGGAATGGGTGACCTTTTGGAAAGTTTCCTAGAAAGAGTTCCTGTAAGGACAAAGCACGCTGAAAAATGAAGTGTCATGAAATGGAACCTTTGAAAGATCATATAGGAGGAGTGTTACATTAATAAATTTATAAAATTAAACAGAAATCTATCGAAATCACATAAAGATTTTCAAATAATTCCAACGGATATATTTATCGGTAATTTTTTATGGATTAAAATATTTTTGACGGATTTTTTTTCGACACCTTTTTTTCCAACAAATTTGCATTTGTTGAAAAACTCTCTTTTTTCAATGGATATGCATTTTTACTGACGGAATATGTCTATCAGAAATTTACATTTTTTCTTGTAGTGAAGGAATACTAAATGCATCAAGTCTTAATCATCTCTATTTTTTGACAGTAGGGTTAGGTGTTGAAGAATCAGATCCCCTTTTCATCATATTTTGATTAAAAGAAACATGACAGCTGAAGATAAGAAAGAGGATAAAAGAAGTTATTTCCCATGGAATATGGAAATGGAATGTCCTTTAGTTGATGTATTTAAAGACCAAAGGAGCTTGGACAATAAAAGTGATGGAAATTGGAAAGTAATGAAATATAATACTACAACTCAAGTTTAGTCTAAGTGTTTCGGTGTTCCCATCATATATAGGAGATAATGTCAAGAACCTTTCTAAACATGGTATAGAATTGTTAGTATAATTATTAGTCAAAGTGGATTCAATTGGGATAGTACAAAGTACATGATTACATTTGAAAACAAAATGTATTGAATGAATATGTTAAGGTAGTCAATCATTTTTTTAATGGTAGTATTATTCAATTGAATTTATTATTAATATTTAAATTATTATTAACATGTTTCCTTTTGTTTTCAACTCACATCAAGAAGCCAAATGATTTCGATTCAAAGTCATTCCTAATTTGGATGATATTGTTGACTTATGTGCCAAGGGTGGAGCTATTGAAATTAAAGTAGAAAATGCATTAGATGTAGATGATATCATTAGCAAGGAAGAAAATAAAGAGGAAGGAGTTCAAAGTGTGGGCATTGACTTAGAGGAATCAATTTATGGAACAAAGAAAAAAAAAACCTACACAAGTAAGAGTGGAGAGACAAAAGGGATGATTTCCTCAATGAAAAAAGTGGCTAAGTCATTGAAAGATTTTTTTGCAAGTAATTAAAAATAAGATATATGATAAAAAAAAATTGAAGAAATGGTAGATGAAATGTTGAATGAGTTGAAGAATATATAATGTCTTGATAGCACACTTTGACTTAAAGAAATTGACTAGTTGACAAAAAATTACAATAAGTTTGTGATTCTAAAAGCTATTCTATTGAATGAGAAGGATAATTAATTACATCTTGACTTTTATGCCTTGATGTCAAATTGAAGATAAATTTTAATTTTTGAGTGAAGCATTAGATTGCATTGACATTAAAATTACTGTTTTTTTAAATTTTATTTTCTTTGTAATTCTAATTTTTATAATTGGATTTTATGTTGGTGCAATAACCAAAATCTTGGGGTGGTAGCCATAAACTGCATTATTGAGAGCTGGCTAGGGCAACTTGGTTGTGAAGTTGGAACTGCTAGTTGTGATATCTCTTATCACATTTCCTAGTTAGCTTAGTGTAGTATAATTCAATTTTTAGGGTTTGTGATTGAGAAACTTGTGGAGATATCTAAAACTAGAATGAGTACTCATCTCAGATGTAGATAATTCCTCAACCTTTTGTCTTTATCAATAGTGTTTTGTATTTAAATTGAGAAAATATAGTTGCATATATTATGCTTTATTTGAGTACAAAATTATAATAAGAAAATGTTATTCTATTGTTTGATGTACCTGAAATTATCAAGTAGTTTAGATTATAGAGTTAAAAACAACTATTTATTTAAGATAAAAAGGTTTTATAATAATGAGAGAAATTTAGATGCTTTATTCTAATATAAAAATTTTAAAATAAAGAAATTCAGTTATTTTATCAAGTTAAGAAATTTTAGAAATGAAGAAATCCAATTGTCTTATGGTAACACAAAATTTTGAAAATGAAATAATTTAATTATTTTATCCAAATAAAAAATTTTAAAACATAGAAATTTTAGTTGAGACAATTGAAATTCTTGAAATTTAATCTCAAAAATTCGAAAATCACATATCAAACACAACCTTAGGTCAATTGAAAATTGAAGAAAAGATATTTTTCAACGAAGTTTTTAACAAAAAATTTTGAAACATCTATTTCGAGTACCTTCTTAGATTTAGCCATTATTTCTAACAAAAAGAAGGCCTTTTTTATATCGATTAAATGTAAAACATATTTAAAATGTCCTATTTTAAATTGATTATTTGAGAATTGATATGGTATATATAGTTCATTAGAATATACTACATTAAAGCTAACATTTTATATATGGCCATTAATTTATCTTTTAAGGGTCATATAAATGATCATTAATTTTTTTTATCAGCAACTAAATAATAGTCAATGTATCCAAAATCATTGATACTATTATTGATGATATTTATTTATATTGAATGATGGTAAAGATATATTAAATTGTAAAAACAAAGCCTTAATTAAACTAATTACATATATAAAATGATTAAAGACTAATAAATAATAGATTTTAAAAGCTAACATTTATTGACCATAAAATTATGTAATTTATGATTGATTTATATAGTGACAATTACGTTTTTGTCACCATAAAATTATCATTAAAATTTATTTTTGTGGTATTTGTGAGAGTGAAATTATAGTTGTAAAAACTAATTTTTGCACTATAGATCCGCCTGATAGCTAGGTATTTTACGTACTTTTTCTTTTCAATTCTTATTATTTTAACAAATATTTATATAATTATCTAGGAATATTTATTGTTTAATAAGCTGATTTAGAAGGAAATATTTATAAAAAAATTTATAGATATAGGCTTAATAGATGAGATGAATACTAGACAAGTTTTTATTTCACAAAATGGATGACAAGCGTACTACTGTATCCACTATCCATCCTGATTTTTGTTCATTTTTCATTGTGAAGCACACGTACGTTGGAGGTTGCCAGTTGCCACCTTTTAAAACATACTACATTTACACACGTTACATAAATAAAAATTTTGAGCTCACGTATGTTCAAAAAAAATCTTTCTTTGTCATGGATTCTTCACTGTTTTCTTCCATCTCGCCTGTGTCACTGAGTGTATTTAGGTACATGCATTGGCCAGATTGACGGTGTATTATGTCATGAATATATATATATATATA